CCACGCGAATAGGCAACGCGCACTCTCCTATTCCTTCACACTCTCTCAAAACACAAGCGACCAACGTTGACGATTCCCATCCAAGGCTGCCTTGGGTCTGAAGCACTGGAGCGCTGTGACACGCTTTGCAGTGCGTTATAGACGCGAACGCTCGCGCATCTTCGCGAAGTCTGAACGCCGCTTCAGAGCTCAACTTGACTACGTTTATGTTTGTTATACAACTGGAAGTGGTGCTCCAACTCACCTCCATTCTCATTCTCGTTTTCATCCATTTTAATATCCAGGTAACCCAGTACTCGAGCCATCACATCGTCCACTAGGCCATGAATCGCCAAGTCCGCTTTCTTTTCCTGCAATCAACCACAATAGGACTTATGGCTGTCAGCGATCAGATCAGACACTTACATGTTTGGTTGCCTGCAGGTTGACAGTCACCATCTTTCCGCCATTCTTTTTCGCCAAGAGTGGCATATCGCCTACTGGCACGATTTGCAACGACGTTCCCAAACACAATGAAAGATCTGCGTTCTGCAATCAGCGACCAATATGAGGGTAAATATTAGCACGAAAGCAAGAGCTCTGCCAGCTACTGATAACCCGCTTCAGGTGACTAAGAGCACGTGCCGCGTCCATTTGGTGTGTGGATGCTGTCATTGGTTGAGGTGACCCTGTCTGTAAAGGGTATGTGACAAGACAATCGTAATATGCCGCGCTACGTCCCGCCTGGCCATCTGGATTCGAGTGCTGAAGGACCGGGAAACACTTCATTGCACGTGATGGACTGTTGCGTTCTCCTGAATTTAGACAAGTTCGCTACTTCGAACGACTCATTGACAAACTCGCGCATTCGCGCACATCGCCGCCCGCGACGACGCGACAAGTTACGATTATCTTGTCCGTTTTCGGTCCGGAAGCACAAAGCATGTGTCACATTCACGACCCGAAGAACACGTAATAAGGACCCCACATGAACGCGACGAAAGCAATGCCCTGCCCACTGCCCATATCACGCCCAAACTTCAATTTCTGGAGGCCTCCTTAAATAGTGCAGCTGTTCCGCTACCAGCCATTCCATTCCTTATGGTGAGAGTGAGGTGATAATGGAAAAGAGCTTCAAAGTCGTCCAAGCACGCCCCTTCTTCGCTCGTGCAAGCAAAGATCGGCGGGGATCTTACCTTGAGAGTTTAGGGCAGTTTTTCCTGCTCGCTTCCGCCGTCACTATTAATTACTCACCACCTTGTCTCTATCCCGGCGCTATTTTTGATCGCAGAAACGTGGCCATCCAAACGAATTTCGCGATAGGGAGAATAAGCGGAGAAATGTCAGGGCATCTACAACCATGGCGGTTCCCTCTCCCTCCTTCTGGTACGGCTAGGAAACGGGGAGAGGCCGGCTCTCTATCGTGGAACGTGGGGCGTATTTCATGACATATAAGGCGCGGCATCACGAGCAAACTAAGCAGAGTATTTCCTAGCCAGACGCGGTACTGCCACCTTGCGTGTGTTGGGCGCCGGTGCCGATAACCCCCCATACAAAGTCTCTTTGGCTGCACTCACCGCGGGTGGAATGTGCTGAACTAACTACATCCATGAAGTGTGTCACTCACCTTAGCATAGTTCCATGCTGTAGTGAAATCTGGCTCGGGTAGGGCATCTTCCCAGTCGAGAGTCGTGTCACGAAGACGTCCACGGCATGCCCGACCGTGTGGAGTACCTTCACAGTTACGACCCGTATATTTTAAACCGACACTTCCCGTTGGGAAATCTCGATAGTACCGCCTGAAAATCGTTGACGCACATCAAACGAGAACTCACTGCAAAGGTTCCCTAATGGGCGCGCCCAAGCACGCTCAGAGCCGCAACGCGACCGCTCGTGTCCTCTGGTCGGCTGTGCACGTACTGTTCATCGAAGTAGGGATTCGAGGGTAGATATTATGTCAGGTTTCTCACCTGGAGCATTTCTCACACTGCTCACAAAACACATTTCCATGAAGCTCAGCCAATCGATTCAATGGGAATGACGAGCGTGGGTGTAATCCATCGACATTTT